CGTGCTTCTGGGCTTCACCGGTTGCCACAGGGAGTTCTGGGTGGTTGTGTGTGTTTTTGGTTTCTTCCCTCCCTTGTCTTGTAGATGTGTGACACAGCTGATCGTGTAGTTTTAGGCGAGACAGGATTTGCTGGGAATGGTTTGCATAGGGATGACCCTGCCTCGGGCAGGGGTTGGACTAGGTCTCCTCCAGAGGCCTCTTCCAGCCCCGCTTTTCTATGACAGACGTTTCTGGCGGAGTGAGTTGTGTACCGAAGTCGGCGCCTGTGTCCTGCTCTGCGGGGCTGTCCCCGCCACTGTTTCACTCGTTTCACACGTTGTCACTTCTGTAGTGCAATAAGCACCTGTCAACCTTTCAACCCCAGCCCAGGGTAGTGCGTCCCACCCCAACAGACGCACCAAGCCTGAGTCTGGTTCTTCCCCTGGTTTTGCTCCAGGCCGATGCAGAAATGGAGGCCAGGGGCACAAGCAGGAGTGCGGGTCTGGTCTCTCCCACGCTGGACTGACTAAGGGGAGACCATGCTTTTCTCCTGCAGAGTCGCAATGCCATGCCCAAACTCCAGATCACAGACTGGGGAACTGAGCCCTGGCGCGGTAGCTAACTGCCCCCAACAGACACGGAGGGGAGCAAGTCTCATGTTCTCCACGCAAGAAAATGGGCCCACCCCAGCTATATCCGGGCTTAATTTCATCCGCGCAGCCTTGGCTTGAAGCTGAACCCAGGCCTGCTCTGGTGACTAAGCACGTCCCTTGGAGGGGCAGCTGCAGGACAGATCTCGGCCTTGTCCTACGACGGGTTTATGTCTGATTGCATGGGAATGGCTGGAAAGGGAGCGAAGCCTGCCCGTGCATTTCATTCTGCACCCGCTAGAGGCCCTTCCAACACTTCAATACGAGGTGGGGACAGGATTCAAGCTGTGCGCACCAGGCCTGGCTTCGTCGGATGGACCCCCGGCGAGCAGCTCCACCGCACAACTCTTGCATTGTGCTCCAGCAACGGTGCAAAAGATGCTGCGAGGTGATGGGAGGAGGGTCTCAGCTCCATCCAAGGGGCAGAGGAGTTTTATTTTTGGTTTTTAGTTTGGATTTGTTTCTGCTGGGGGAAAAAAAAAAAATTGCATTTTCCAGAGAAATCCCTCCCACGGGCTTTTTGCACTGGGCGCTCCATGCGAGCATACCCCTTCCTCAGGGGGCACCCCGGCCTGAGAGAGACGTGCTCTGCAAGGTGCTGTCCCCAGAGGTAGAGCGAAGGGAGGGGGCAGGAGGAGGCTCTTCCTAAAATAAGCCTGATCTGAGGAATGATCTTATTAATCCCGGTCCCCAGGAGCTCCCCTGCAGAATTTTGCCCGAACCTCTGTGCCGCCGGCAGTTTTAAGTGAGCCTCTTAGCAGCGGAGACGCTTCCCCACCTTGCAGAGCAGACAGGAAAGGTGTTAGCAGCTCCTTGCTCCCAACCTGGCAAGGCGAGGGCACGTAGCTGCTTGAATCGAGCAGCAGGGATGGGAGAGACCTGGAGAGAAGGGGGCTTTGCCCTCTCTCTTGTCACGCTGCCTTGGTGCCGAGCAGCGGTACAATGGGACGGTACCCCCCATACTGGTACCGCTGCTTGGCGTGCTGCATGAGTGGTGCCAGCATCAGAAGTGGGTTCACTCCCAAATCTGTGCTCCCTGCTGCCCGCAAGGCCTGGTCCATTTACAACCGGCTGCTGTCTTCTGCAGGGGGCTGGCCTCGTCTGGATGCTGGCTGCTGGAGGGAGGGTTGCCCGAACCGGAGCGCTGGCTTGCAACGAGATGGCAGGGCACTAGCCGCAGTCCAACAGCTGCCCTGTCCCGGCCCTCTTCCTGTGCTCGCTACACGCCGCAAAAGAGCGGCTTGGTGTGTACGCATGTCGTGCCACCGAGACTCGAAGCATTGCAGCGGAGGTGGCAGAGATGTCCCGCGGCTTCCTCTTGGTTTCTAAGCCGTCCGCTGCAGGACACCCGACAGCGCGAGAGCGGCCCCCGGGCTGCGCGGGGGGAGGCTAGAGACGGCCCCCGTCCCTCTGTGGCTGCCGCTCCTCAATAACCACTCGCACGCCTGCCCGCGGAGACCGAAATCGGCTTTATTCACAATCACAGTTACCCAGTTGTCACAACGAATGGATTGGTTTTCTTGTTGTTGTTTTCTTCTCGCTAACAGAACACAAACCGGTTTAAAAGAAAGCGCTGAAATGCAGATGACATCAAAACACCTTGTCGTGACTTAGGAGCCGACACAAACCCAACAGCACCGCCCAAAAACCCCCTTCCATGTTGTTGTTGTTTTTGCATCTGCCGTTTTTCTGCTCGCTCAAAAGACCAGCGCCGGCCCCTGCCCGCGTGCCCTTGCCCACTGCTGCGCTGCCCGCCAGGCCTGGCCCTGAGCTCGCTGCCGACGGGTGTTTCACATCTACCTCCCAGTTTGGTCCGCAGCAAAACGCACGCGCCTTCGTGCGAAAGCACTCTGCAGGGCAAGCACGCCAGGGGACGGTTACCTGCATGCGTGCACCTGCGTGTGCGTGTGTATGCACGCACCTTCCTGCACAGTAACTAGTTAACCTGCTCTGGCCTCAGCCCATGGAAACTGGGATGTCCTTGGCCGCGCTGGCTTTCTGGATAGTCGCAAGCTGTTTCTTATTGCACGTGCCCCACAGTCTCGCACGCATATGCACGCGTGCATGCACACCCGCACCCATCTTTCATTACATTCAACTCCCCACCCCCCGTCCAGTGTGTGCAATGGTGGGAGCAGCTGCGGAGTCCAGCTTGTGGGTGATGGCCCGTTACCCATGTCCAGGCTTTCGGCTATTCCTGGTTAGACACCCACTGGTTGGGGATGACCTGGACGTAGCTGTGCCTGTTTTCTACCATGGGTATGTCCCACGCTTCTGGGCTTTACTGGTTGCTCCCCCCTGCTTGTCTCTTTTTTTTTTTTTTTCTTTTTTTTTTTTTTTTTTTTAATTTTCTGATATGTATTGGGGTGTTTTTAAGCCTCCCCAGTGGCACCTGGTGTTGGCTACAGCTACGGCGGGGGCCTTCCCCTGGGCTGTGCCGACTCTCCTGCTAGGAGCGAAGCCAGTAGTTCCCGGCTAGAGGGTCTTGCCCCTGCGCTCGGGGTCAGACCGCAAGCCCTATTTGGGGTCAGGAAGGCATTTTACCCCGTGGTCAGATTGGCATGGACGGTGGGGGTTATTGCCTTCCTCTGCAGCGGAGGGCACGGTCCTCTCCCTGGGACACCTTGAGCGTACATCGCCAACACTTCACAGAAGCAGGACGTTGGCGGCCGCGGTTCCCCTGCTTTAATTATGGCAGGTTTGGGTGTTTATGTTGGGTCAGGGTTGAGATTATGGTGGTATGGGGTGGTTTGGATGGGGACGCGCCTGCCTCAGGCTGGGGGTTGGACTAGATGGGACCTCTGGAGGTCCCGTCCAGCCCCGCTTCGCTGTGATTCTGCTTTTCCATGGATGCCATAAATAAAAAAAAAAAAGCTGCAAGGCTGGTTCATGTTCAGCTGAGGAAACCCAGGTTAAGGTTGGCGTCTACAACCTGGTGCGGGTGTGTGTTTAGTATTACAATCTCCTCGATAGAAATGCGTAGAGCCGATTGCCCCCTCCTGTGCAGGCTGGGCCGGCACTGGGTGCTGCAGCCCCTCTCCCCGAGCCAAGCGCCTGTTCGCAGGTGGAGGGATGCATTTGCTAGCCGCTGCCTGGGGAGACTGGGTGCGCACAGTATGTGATTATGGACATAATTAGGGATTATCGGTACTGGAGCAGGGGTTGGGCAAGATGCCAGCCCTGTAACCCGCTCACACTACATGCTCTACATGCCCCTTGCCTGCTTGTTGACCAGCCATTAGGACATCATAAGCACAGGCAGAAAGGGCTGGGGCCTATTCCTCAAGAAAATGAGCTCTATTTAAGTCGACGGGACTCTACCCCAGCTCTGGCCAGCTTTCAGGGCAGACAGACGTGGGCCGTCCTTCCTGCAGTCCTTTCAGTGTCCGCTCCCCTGGCAGCAGAGCTGACGTGCAGGGGCAGCAAAAGAAAGCACGGTGACTGGTTTGAGCCTTGCCCGGCGGGGGGAAAGGATACCCCTACAACGTGGGGCCGACGGGCAGATCGTTGCTCCATCATGGAGCAAGCGGTGTCGCCACAGCTAAGACCTGGCTTCAGGAGGGAGGCAGGGGGTCTGCTCCTAGCACTTCCCCACTAACCTGGGGCCTTGTTCGAGCGCCCGTGGAAGGCAGCAGTAGGAGCTCAATGCAAGCCGTGCATAGGTGCTCGGCCTGCCTTGAGCAGTGGGTGCCTTTGGTGGTGGGGGGGGTGGAGTATTTTTGGGGAGATGATTAAAGAGAGGGAGGTCACTAGCCCTAGAGCTCGCTCCCTGCTCAGCCCTTTGCACGTCCGAGCGTTAGCAGGACCAGCACGACGTTGGGGAGGTGGGGTCGACTCATGCCTTGGTATTATTGCAGCTTCTGCCTGGCCAGGATTCACAGAACCGAACTGAGATGATGCACGGAGACCCCTGCCCTCCCTCCCCAGCACCCCGCACAGGAGCAGCTGCTGGCTGAAGGCTTCCCGGGTACGACGCAAGGAACCAGCCCGCTGGAGACCTGAGCCAGGGTGGTGGCAGCGGGGCAGGGAGCAGCAACGGCGGTGTCCTTCCCTCTCGGCAAGAGCAGGGGAGGCCTTGCAAAACCCTCAGCTTGAACAAACGGGACACGGGGACGCCCGTCTCCTCCTGGCAATGGCCGACCCCACGTCACCTTGTCTGCTCAAGGCCACAGGAGCTCAGTCACAAGTTCCTTCCTTTTGCGGGGTGGGTTTTTTTTTTTGTTGTTTTTTGGGGGGGGGGTTAACAGCAAAGAGCGAGATGGAGCGTAACGTCGTAAAAACAGAGCCGCGGGCTGTTCACCCCTGTTCACCGAACTCGGGGTTTGTCACAAGCGTCGACGGGCAGAGGCCGGGGAAAGGGACCCCTTGGGGGGTCATGCAGTGGGGGGGTGCTGCGGTCACGACTGGGACTGCGAGGACAGGAGATGGTCAGCGGGGAAAGGACGGTGGCTGGGTGGCGAGGCGCAGAGCAGGCGCCCAACGCGGGTGTCTTCAGCAGGGCGGCGTCCCGGCACCCTTGGGCAGACTCCAGCTGCCGCTAGCGTCTTTCTCCAGCAAGTTGAGGCACACTGAGGCGGCCAAGGCATCGGTTTCTTCCTCTCCAGGGCGACTGCTGAGCTTGCCAGCGGCCTGGCAGGGGGGAAAGGGCTTGTCTTACCCTTAGGAAAAGGGGTTGGGTTTTTAATTTTCTCTTCTGCCTACCGCACAAGTCCCTTCTGCAACGGCTGGCAGCCCCTCCGCCTCTTCCAAACCCCCCACGTGGTCCTGCTCTTCAAGGAGGCTCGTGCACCCAAGATGGCTCCCTCCTTTCCTCCGAGATGGTTCCCATCTGCCAGCCATCGCCACCCCTTTGGGGCAGGGGGCACATCTCCACAGCCACCTTCCCAAGCGTCGGAGATGCCCCTGCGCAGTGCAGAGGAGGTCGGAGAGCTCCAGCTGTTGCATTGAGATTAAACATTAAATCCATTGGTAAGAGCAGATTTGCCTCGGCTTCCCTGATGCCCTGGAGTCCAGAGCCAGCGGCTTGCTGGTGGGGTTGGAAGAGCAGTTGCAGCCGGGCCACCCCCTCGCTCACCGCCCCCAGCACCCCCGGGGTGCTTCAGATATCGGCTCTCACAGACGATGAATGAAAACCGGGGCTCTTCTCCCCGCGCGTCCTCCTCCACCCCACCCCTGCCAGCCCTGCGGCTCTAGGTGCTGCGGTAGGTTTTGATGATATCCTTGATGGCCCGCCTGCAAATGGGGCAGCAGGCGTTGGCCATCTTCTTGAGCTTCAGCCCGCAGGAATAGCAGAGACACATGTGCCCGCAGGAGTAAATGACCGTGTCCACCATGTTCTCGTAGCAGATGGTGCATTCGTCTCCCCAGGCCCCTGAGACGGAGGGGGAGATGGGGGACTCCGGCATGCTAACCGGGGAGTTCGGAGCCGTGCCTGCAAGGGAAGGGACACCGTCAGTCTTTGTGCAGTGGGATCATCGGGACGAGGGGAGCTGCTGCACTGGGGTCTGGAAGGAGCGCTTTAAGTGCCTTTGCTTCTGACGAGGGAGGTGAGAAAAGCCTGAAATGTGCAGCTGGGTCGCTTTACCTGCATGGCTGAGGAAGGGAAAGCAATTCCTGGCTCTAGCCCTTGGGGATTTGCTTCCACAGCTGCCTGCCTCTGCTACCCAGGCTGCTGGCACTCAGCAGCAAACACCAGGCCCCAGCTCGCGTGCACAGTCGTGTGCTTGCAACGCAAAGCAAAGTGCCCCTGGGAAAGCAGCACCTGCAGCAACCAGCGATAGCACCTGCCCTTGGCTCGCCAGCACCAGAAGCCTTCCTCTGGGTGGCAGACGTGCCCGTCCAAGGGGACGTGGCAGCTGCAACGCAGCTCCACATCTCAGCTGGGTGCCCGGCACAGCTCGGCGGTGGAGAGAGGGCTTTTCTAGCAGGGAACCACCCCCTGTGCTGGGACGGAGGATGGTGAAGACGCCACCTGGACTGTGCTCCCACAGACTCGCTGCGTGGCCTTTTGGGGCCTCGCTTACAAATGGACGCGCCGCCCCGCAGAGCCTCTGCTCCACCAGAGCCACGTCGGCCAAGAGACACCCTGCTGGTCAGCGCCCCTGCCTCGAAGCATCTTCCAGGTCAAACAGGCTGGCAACAGGAAGGTCCCCAAGGGCCGGCGGGCTTCCCGGCTCTCCCCACCTTACTGGCAGGGGTGTATGCGCTGCACCGTGCTGGAAAAGGCCCTGGGAGTTTCCAGGAGGGACACGCGGACGAACGGGGGCAACACTTACCGCTGATTGAGCTGCAGAGCAGGCCTGAGCCGCAGGTGGTCAAGATTGGGTCGGAAACCCCGCTGCAGAGGGTGGTGGGGGAACTGGGAGCCGAGGTGGGGGAGCTTGGGATGGACGGGCCCCGTCGCTCGGCCAGGATGGTGGAACCTGGAGAAGAGAAAGCCAACAAGCCTTGGTCTATCGCCGCCGGGGGAGCCAGACCCGGGGACAGGGTGAACTCCCTCCTCTCTGCGTTAAGGTGGCTTGAGATCTGGGAAGGACGCTCAGCCCTGCAGAAGTCAGCTAAACTGCACGAGGGCCAGGACGGTTTCCCTTCCCAGTAAGCCCCGGGGGCAATAAGGCACGCGCCCGACCCGCTGCGGCTGCCATCAGCTGGCCTGCAAGGGGTGCCAGCCTCAGTGACCCCTCAAAGCGAGCTGGATTTCTTTTAATCAACACAGAGGGTTACAGCTGCCTTTTAAAGCGTGGCTTTTCCTTGAACCAAAGCCCTGCACCCACCACTTTCCCCCCAGCAGCCTGACACCGCCGAGGGGACCCCAGCCAGGACCAGGCCAGCCCACCACCTCGTTAACAGAGCCTCTTTGCAGGTGAGTGCTATCGAGCACCCTGCTGTCCAGATGCTGCCGGCTTGGGACCAAGGCGAGGGAAGGGGGGTGCACTCGGTTTGGGTCTGAGAGACCCACAGGACCCTTGCCAGTGCCCTGATGAGCTCCAAGAAATCGTGTCTGTGCAAATGCCCTCATTCGCCATGAATGCGAAGCCCCCCAGCACAAAGCAGGTGGCACCTCTACCCATTTCACAGGCACTTCCTTAGCTCGCAGTGGGCCTGAATGCAACCCCCCTGTACGGGGAGCTCGGCACCCGTAGCGTTGGGGCGGTGGAAGCCCGGCTTAGGACACTTGCCCGCGGGGAGAAAGTGCTCGGCCAAAGCGACCACATCTCAGAGACGGCCTGGCCGCCTCCTTCACCCTTTGCCTGCTCCTTGTCTTGCTGCTATAATAATATAATTAGCTTAAATAACACGCCTCCCTTCTTTGCGGCTTTTGGGCCCTGGCTGAAGAGATGGCAGGGCTCAAGCAAGATCGATGCTTATTTGATTCTAACACTTAAGACTTCTTCATCTTGCCAAGGAGCCAGATCAATGACCCAGGGGATGCTTTCGAGTGAAAGAGAGCCAAGGCCGGCTGGACAGCCTGAGCAGGACACCTCGGGGACAGAGGAGAGGACGTTCCCCTCCCGCCGGCTTTGGGAGCGAAAGCATCCCTGCAGTACAACCGGGATTGAAGGAAAATACTGAACGCCACTGTCCACCCCATGTTGAAATAAAGCCAGGTGCTTTGCATGCGCAGGGCATTGGAAGGGAGGCTCCTCTGCCTCAGTTTCCCTCCACGCACCACCGTGCAGCAGGCAAAACAAGCGACTGCCTTCCCCGCCTGCCCCGCGGCTTTCTGAGCTCTTTAGCAACACGACCAGGGCCGGAGGTCTGGGTCCTCCTGCCGCTTTGCCAGTGTTGCTGCTTGACTTCAGCCTCGGTAGCTCAGCCGCCCCATCTGCATTATGGGGCTATGGCTTCTTGCAAAGAGGAATTTGTGGCTAGCACATCAGCGTGCCAATGGCCTCAGAAGGAGGGAAAGGGGGCTGAAAACAAAGCTGTTCTGGGAAGAATCAGGCCTCTTCCAAGCAGCTGTGATCAGAGAGCCAAGTCCTGTGAATCGAGCCCGCAGCAACTTGCCCGAGAGCATCCCCGCAAGGCGGTGGTGGAGCCGGTCGAGGACCCGAGGGGACCTCAGAGGGGCGAGACGGACAAACAGGAGCGTGCACAAATCGAGCGGGCTGCACCGCGGTCCTGGCACTTCCCCAGACAGCCTATCTCGTCTCGTCTGTGGCGAGAGCGAGGAACCGATGAGCCTCTGAGCTCATAGCCCGCAGCGCTCGAGCCCGGTCCTTCCCAGAAATAGCCCTTTCAGTTCCCTCCTTTATTGCCACAGCCCCCGCTCCAGCCAAGCCCCGGCTTCTGAGTGTTTTTTATTTTCCAAATTTCCCAAAAGGTAACGAAGCCTTTGACGTGCGAAGCCTCCGGAAAATACTTGAAATGGCAGGTGCGTGTTTGGAAAGAAGGCAGCTGTTCCCGAAGGGAGCGTGGCATCGCATTCAGGCCGACACGGGGAGGCCACCGGGTGCCCCCGGGTCCTGCTCAGCCCTCGCAGTGCCCGCGCTCGGCCGAGTGCATGGCCCGGTGCGCTCCGACCCCGCCAGGTTAACGCGGCGGGGGAAAAGGAACAAAGTCTTGTTCCGGCATGAGCGATGCTGAGGCGTGAGCAAATGCAAAGCTGTTTTTGTTGCACTGTGTGAGGGGAGCAGGGCTTTCTGCAGTCAGGGCAAAGCTTTTTAGAGCTGGAGAAAAAACTTTCCTAGCTGGCTGGTCTGGAAGATGATGGTTCTTCACTGGAATAGTGGCATGGAGACACTGCTGCAAGATGGCAGGAGAGATGATAACCTTTTTGCAGCCTCTCTCAAATTGGTTGCTCATCAAAAAACTGCTGCCAATGCGAGAGGGGCTGTGAAGGGTTCACAGTGGAGAAGCTGGCGGTCATCTTGCACTACGGTCTCCCCATGAAAAAAGTGCTTCTGAGCAAATCTTGGGGGTTTTTGTTTTGTTTTGTTTTGGTTTTTTGCAAAAACAAGACGCGTGTCATTTAGGGGCATGTTGTCGGTGAGAGTGCAGCATTCTCCTTGCACACCCCCTGCACAGCTAACACTACTTCGTATCCCACCTGATCCCAAACCTACTGGAAAGACATCCTCCAGCACCAGTGGCCCTTGAGGCAGGTCCATGTTCCAGGAGGTTTGCTGGCATGATTACCAAGCTCCTAGTGTTAGATAAAGGCCAATATCTATGGAGCAACAATTAGTCACCGCTCTGTGTTTCTGTGCCGAGGACCGCCAAATGCACTAAAAATATGAAATGCCAGAAGCTGTTTAATGTCACTGAGAGAAGAAAGTCCGTATGATCACTGTTGCTGACTATCACTTCTAGAGGAGCCTTCAGCTGCAGTCAACACGGGTGTTGTGGTCCAAGGACGGGGGGAAGGACCGAGATCCTCTCCTAGCAGGGTTCGCTCCCTATGATCGGCCACTTTTACGCAGTGGTGGTAAGTTTTGAAGCGGTGAGATCTGGTCTTTGGGTCGGCTGTCCCTCGGATCTGGTTTCCTTTAAGAAAGTTGCATTATTTGAGGAGAGTCATTGGTACCTAACTGGGGAAAGGGCTTAGCAAAAGGGGACCTGCAAGGTAAAATAAGCCATATGTTAGGGTGAAGGGCTTCCTAAAACTGCCAGAAATGAGTATGGTCCTATAGGAAATCAACAGCGAGCAGGCAGCAAGATTGCCCTTTCCTGTAACCACCATAAAAATCATCTTTTCCCCTCCGCACCAGGCCTAATCAACAAACCTGATTTCCAATTTAACTCCTTTGACCCTAAAAATCCCACACAGGCGGACACGAAACCGGATTACAAACAAGTGCATCAACTGCAGTGTGTCTGATCGATGTATTGGTCTGAAAGCAATCCGCTGCTAGAGTTGGATCTGCTTGGAAAGCTTGAGGAGCATCCCTTGTGCAGAGAGGGAGGAGGATATGCTGTCCCTATTGTAAAAGCTTATTTCTGTGACTCATTTCCATGGAGCACTCACAAAATGGTGAGTTTGGGGGTCCTGCTCATTGCCGAGTGGCCCGCTGAGCAGGAGTGATTAAAAACAGGTGGATAATGGTTATATGCAAATCACACATTGAGTTTTAAGCCTGACACTCGCTCAGCATTTGCTAGCCACCAGCGGCGATTTGCTTGGACAGCGGCAGAGGTCGGTAGGACTTTTCCGGGGAGGCCAGCAGGCAAAGTGCAGCAATTGTCATGGATCTCAGGTCTTTGTAACGCGCTTCGCACCATGGCACGCGTCCCGGCCGAGGGCGATGCAGAAGCCCGCAGCCATTTCCCAGCTCAGAAGCTGGACGAAGGCCAACGCGACAAGCCTGAGTGGAGCAGGATCAAAAGCCTTGGAAGTCAGCTAAAAGCACCGAGTAACCCCATGGATGGGACCTGGCTGGCGCTGGAGGCTGGGCAATGAAGGGAGGTTACTTGGGAGAAAAGGAAGTGAATCCTTCTTGACTTTGCAGATCTCCACCTCCTTGCCCTGACCCCTTCTCTCTGACACGGAGCCCGGTACTTCTGCACGCGTTCAAGGCTGAATCTTGCCAGGCCCGGGACTCTCACCCAGGGCCAGGAGGACTTTGTCTCTGAGAGCCTAACACAACTGGACTTCCCACGCTTCGAATGAGCGCTGTTTGGAAATGAAAAGACACCCGAGACATTTTCCATACAGCCTGGAGCTTCCCCTTTTAAACAGGGGGAGGAAAAAAAAATCCCAACATAAATAGATGTAGGGACTTCCACCTTGAAAAAACTTTGGGACAGCATTTACTGCCCAGGGCAAACACCAGCTGAAGTGATTCATTTGGTGTCAGCTGTTTGCAACTCCTGTCAAGGCTTTTTATGGCTGGCCCTGGAAGGCTGTGTATATATTTATATGCATTACCTGTCAAGGCTTTTTATGGCTGGTCCTGGGACGCTGTATATACAATAGACACCCCCTGTGTACACACCGCAGGGGCGGTATTTTCTTTATCGTGCGAGCATCTAATCTGCCGGCTCAGACTTTGCTCTGCTGGGCTGTGGTTGTTGCCAAGAAAACCATCGCTGCCATTCAGTAATTGCCCTTAACTTGTTTGAACGGCCTCTCCTTCCTGGGAGCTGGGCTGGGCTGCAGGGTCTGGCCCTTCCCCAAACATTGTAAAAATTAAAAAATATGGGGAACTTGCTCTGTCCTCCCCGGTGCAGTTCTGCTTTCTCATGGGTTGCCGCCCTGATGCAGTCTTTGGGGGCTGATTTATTGCTGCAAGTCGGAGGTCAAACAGGCTGATCCCTCTCCCTTGGAAGGGATGCTAACCAGCTTGGTGGCCCGGTCCACAAGCTGAGCGAGGAAGGAGAGGAGAGGACCTGACACGATGGCCCCACGTGAGGACCAGATGCTGCTGACCTCCGGTAGAGTTACCGATACTGAGTCCAAAGACCGGTTCAATGTGATCTTCGT